CACTCCCAAACACTATGGCAACTGTAAAACCAAAGGTGTAGTTTATCTATTAACATGTGATTGTAATTGTTTTTTGGAAGGTAAAACCAAATTGGAGCTATGGCATCAGGCTTATCGCCATATCTCTAGTATGAAATCCAACAATGTTGAAGTACCACTGGGACACCATACAGCAGATCTCCATGGAGGAGTCTTTCCTAGGAGTCCTCAATCTTTGATTTTGGACCGAAACCATCTGAGCCCACGTAGATGTGACTGGAACAAAAGTCTGCTCCAGAGTGAGCTCAGATGGATTCATAGATTAAATGCCACTACTTTTCCAGGGCTAAATGTCCTTCAAACTGTTTTTGGAGGGATTTGTGTTGAGAGGATGCGAAAGGAACCTTTGACCCCTCCACCTTGCTCCAACATGAATTTCTTCCTCAACCGTTTACCTTTTTTTTTGGGTTGTTGCTGCACAGAATTTGTCAATTATAGTGTTTTGGTGTTTTATTGTATGTAATTTTGATTATAAAAGATAATCTGTGCCATGTGGATGTAATTGCCATATCCATTTTCCCTTTTCTGCTTTCAGTATTTTTTATTCTTTTCTTCCCCCTTTTTTCTTGCCGTCCCTGTGTCACCCCCCGGCGTACGGTGGCAACAGCCTCTGATTTATCAGGGTTGGTGGCCTTCAGAGTTGGGCTTTTGGGGCGGCGTGGTCATTCCATCAGAGTGAGGCTTGGTTTGCACTCTCTTCGGCCGCTTTCCTGCCTGGCTCTGTTTCTCTGTGTCGGTGCGACGTGTGATGTCACCGCACCAGCGGAATGGCGACACATGGCCAGGGAGGGGTTGTTACGACCGCCGTGGGTAGTGATAGGTCTGTTCTGATTCACTCCAGCTTTTGTGGATGCTAATTGGAGCATTTTTAAGTCTCTCTGGGGGTATAAGACACCATTTTTAGAGCCCATACGCTGCTTATTCAGCAGTGGTGGTGCCATGTTTCCAGTAGACACGGTATGTTACATATATCTATTTTTGGCCAATTTTTTTAACTTTCTAGTACATTAGCAGTCTTATATGCCCTTTTTCCTAGACATCTGTCTTTGTTATAGACATAGAACACCGGAGAGATTCCTTTCCCTCATGGGATTTGGATGCTGGGTCATCATTATTTTTTCATCTTGGATGTTCCTTGCCACTGTTGCACCCCCAGTAAGTGCTCTTTTTGTTTAATCTTTCTGATTGCTTATTGCGCATACACAGTGTTCCCAGATCGGCTCACAAGCTTCATGCATGGCGTTTTTAAGCACATACACGCTATGGATGCCATGCCAGTCAACCATCTTTAGTGCTTGGAAAAAATTTGTTTTGAAGTTTTTTACCATTTAATGGGCAGATTGATCTTTGTGCATTTTACATGCACAGACCTAAAGTTACATTTATGCCCATTCATAATACATTATTTCCTATATGGTCTCGATCAGTCCATCTGGTAAGCACTATTTATCACCATTGCTTGTTATTTTTATTGCCATCTTTTGCTATCACCATTGCTATTGCTATTTCTTAGTCCACTGTTCATTCATTGATTGCCACACTACAGTGGATGTCTCTCACTTGGAATAGTTACTCACTATATGTTTGGGGACCTCTCCCTCCCCCCCTTTTTTTTTTTTGGGGGGGGGGCATTATTTGGAGTGTTTTTTGCAGAATCCTGCCCCCCTTGTTGCACAGAGGTGCAGTGTCCCAGTTTCTCACTGCCATTTAGTTCCATATAGAATGATCCTTCCCATGCATTGTGTTTTCATCTATTGCTCTGAGGAAGGGAGTTCGACTCCTGAAATGCGTTAGCACTTTACCTAAGGACCTATGCTGTCCACGACTGGCATCCTTTGACTCCTTGTCTCTGTTTTTATGACCTTTTAGGCTTGTGAGTATGTTTTTTTTTTTGCCTTTTTATAATAAGTTCCATGGTAATGCACGAGGATAGTGTGCCCTGTTAAGCGCAAATATACGCATGACTCATCTATATCTAATTATTGTAAAATAACGTTTGGTGATATTGCCACAATTTGTAACTGTATGTCTTTTTTATAAGATTGTATAAATAAAATATGGTTCTCTTTTAACTATTATTTGTTAGAGTATTCTCTCTTTTTTTCTCCTGATGTGTGCCTTAAAAGTCGAACTAACAAGAGGCTTTCTCCAGTGTATTCCTTAGGGATGATGATATCACACCCATTCCTCTCTTTGATTGTTACCTATGATAGACGTCTACACACCTTAACTCAAACTTTTTTTAACCAAAATGCATTACTTTCACAAAGTCTTCAGACAGATGGTCATAGCAAACAGCAAGGAATAGAAGAATCAGCAGGGTCTGATTGCCAGATCAGGTGCGGACAAACATATCTTAAAAAAGTCCAGGTTTCATACAGGTAGACCAAACAATGACAGACTACACAACAGGACTGTGATCAGGGTTAGCACACATGAGCTGAGAAAGAAATCAGTTGGCACAAAGTCCAAATAATTTGTGAAACTATTCAAGGGCACAAGCAGACAAAAGACAGACAAACCTTAATTCATTGCATGCACAGACAGACTAATAATCAGATAAGCAGACACAGGCTGAATGTTGGTCTATTAACCACTTGCCTGCTGCTCTATAGTAGGAGTACTGTTGCAGGGAGCCAGAGCTGTGCAAAATGAGATATATCCGTGATTTGCATTTCCTGGTAGGGGGCGCGGCTACGGATGTCAATCACCGGGTCTCGGACGGAGATTCCCTGCCAGCACCCGATGATCGCCGAGTAAAACTGACGGGGGAGAGAGATAAACAACACAGGTCTCTCTCCTGCCAGCACGGACATGCTGCTGTGTATTTCTCTGCACAGCGGAGAAATACACAACAGCATGTTTCCCTAGTAAAACACACACAGCACACATTTAACCCTTTGCTCACCCCAGATGTTGAGGCCTTCCTGCCAAGTGTCATTAGTACAGTGTCAGTGCTTTTTATTAGCACTGATCATTGTATTAGTGTCATTTGCATGTCAGTGGCAGTTAGTCAGTTCCCACCCAGTATCAGAATGCCCGCCGCAGGCCCGCTATAAGTCGCTGATCGCCGCTAATAATAGTATAAAAGAAAATAAATAAAAATTCCAGTATATATACCGCCATTTATAGACGCTATAACTTTCACATAAATAAATTAATTTACATGTATTGGGATTTTCTTAAGCAAAAACATGTAGCAGAAAATTTATGAAGAAATTAGATTTTTTAATTTTTTTTTTCTGGATATGTTTTATATCAAAAAGTAAAAAATATTGTTATTTTTTAAAAATTGTCAACCTTTTTTTGTTTATAGCGCAAAATATAAAAAGCGCACAGGTGGTCAAATACCACTGAAAGAAAGCTCTATTTGTTGGGAAAAAAGGATATACATTTCATTTATGTACAGCATTGCATGATTGTCAGTTAAAGTAATGCAGCACCATATCGCAAAAAATGGCCTGGTCAGGAAGGGGGTAAGTCCTTGGAGGGCACTCCTAATAAGACAAGTATGCGCTACAGAAACTGGAGCTGCAGTACTGAGTATCAATCAGCAGGTGGAGAAGGTCCAAGTCTAATTGTTACTGCTTCCTTAATCATGCCATTTTTGGCAAATAACCCACAGCAGTGGTAGTGTTCATTACAAAAATATAGTTTAAACATTCTACTTGCAGAGCCATCTGCTAGTGAAATCTAGTATTTGGTCACATAATTAAACAGTTGGGTTGTAAAAAGACACAAGTCCATCTAGTTTAACCAATAGAAAAAACAAAACCCTCTAACTACTCTATCCTACACCCATAGTTTGTCCAAAGGAAGGCAAAAAACTCCCAATAAAGTATTGTCGGATTTACTCCAGTGGGAGAAAAAAAAATCCTTCTCGATCCCCCAGGCATTTGTATATTCCTTGGATCAACTACTCCTGGTGTTATTTCCTATAAATGTTAGTATCCAGTTATTTTTTATGCATTTAGGAATGCATCCAGCTCTTTTTTAAACAATCTATTGATCTGGCCAGAACTATTTTTGAGGGAGTCTGTTTATATTTGGACCTGGTTTACATTAGTGTGACTTCTGATGTGACATGAGTTGCACAGAATCACGACAGGGGAAATCACATTATTTTCAGTTGTGTCTGTCCTAATCAATGCCACTCAGCAGGATGTGATTTTGGAAAAGATTCCTGCACTAGACTGATGCGATTTCAGTGCGATTTCAGCTATAATGATTTATATTTTAGCTCACATAAACTGCATGAGCGTTAGATAAGAAGCAATTCCTATGCAACTTTGATGAGCTCAGTGCGTTTGTTTTTTTTCTGCAACCCTCACCTCTCCTCCAAGGTCTAAAAACAGTAGAAAATATTATATCAACAAAACATAAAACTGCTAAATTTGTTTTAATTTGCAAAAATAAGTGCCATAAGATGCCACTAGAACCAATATTAACCACTAGCCTACAGGGCACTTATACCCCCTTCCTGCCCAGGCCAATTTCCAGCTTTCAGCGCTGTCGCACTTTGAATGATAATTGCGCAGTCATACAACACTGTACCCATATGACATTTTTATAATTTTTTTGTGACAGATAGAGCTTTATTTTAGTGGTATTTAATCAGCTCTGGGTTTTTTATTTTTTCTTAAACAAACCAAAAACCACTGAAAATTTTGAAAAAAAAAAAATTTTTTCTTAGTTTTTGTTATAAAATTTTGTAAACAAGTGATTTTTCTCCTTCACTGATGTGCGCTAATGAGGCTGCAGTGATGGGCACTTATAGGCTGCACTGATGGACACTGATAGGTGGCACTGATGGGCACTGATGAGGAGGCACTGGTAGGTGGCACTGATGGGCATTGACCGGCATCACTGATGGGCACTGAAAGGCAGCACTGATATATGGCACTGATAGGCGGCACTGACTGGCACTGTTAGGTGGCACTGACTGGCACTGTTAGGCGGCACTGATAGGCGGCACTGACGGACACTGATAGGCGGCACTGATAGGCAGAACTGACTGGCACTGATAGGTGGCACTGACTGGCATTGGTGGGTGACACTGAAAGGCAGCTCAGATGAGCACTGATATGTGGCATTGATGTGCACTGGTAGACACTGATATGTGGCATTGATGTGGCACTGATGGGCACTGGCAGGTGGCATGGATGAGCACTGAGAGCTGGCATTGATGGGCACTGACAGGTGGCACTGCTGGAGCTACACTGATCATCAGGGCACACTGATCATCAGTGCTCTGATGATCAGTGTACATGTCCCCTCCGAGGAATGCCGATTACCGGCTCTCCTCTCCTCATGAGCTGTCAGCGTGACAGCTCATGAGGAGAGAAATGCCGATAACCAGCATTTCCCTGTTTACATGCAATCAGCTGTGTCCAATCACATGACCGAGCTGACATCTTCGGCTCTTTCTGTGGATCGGTGATTCGCTGTGTCCGAGGGACACAGCGTACCACTGATCACAGAGCTGCTTGCTCCTGGAGCCGCGCATGCGCGGTCAGAATGGGAGGATGTCATATGACATCCTCCCAGAACGAGAGAGAACCACCTTGTGTCCGTCATTGGACTATATGGTGGGCGGGACAAAATTAGTGTCACGGATGGACTGTTTCTGTGGCTGGAAGTAGCAGGGTGACAGTTGCAGTGAGAGGAGGATGATGGATTCACAGACAGATCCCAGGCTGGAATTCCCCAGGCAATAGGGGGTAGATAAAACGCTGTGACAGCATGCAGCTGAACTGAGCAATTGCACTCAGTGACATATCCGACACAACACACCATCAACACTGACACAGATCAGCAGGCCCAGCAGGCACTAGAAGAGCAGGCTGTGGGATCGTGATGATGTCATCACTCACTGACACATTGCATATGTGATGGATGGCCAGCCGGCCGGGTCACACTCACAAAGACGAAAAACATCAGAGTCAGACATTACCTTCCTCTGCAGGTGCAGCTCCTCCTCTGCTGTTGAATTGGAAGAGAAGGGCTGGAACTCCACAGTGATCAGTAGTGGCCAGCTGGCTTGCAGTAAGGGACTGTGTCTGAGAGGAACACTGGAAGGATCTTCAGCTCAGCTTCTACACTGGCCCCAGACACCCAGCATCTTCCTCTGTCCTTTCTTCCTACCCCCTGCTGCCCCTCCCCTCAGCTAAAGAATAATTCATAATGTGGCAGCATCCCACACAGAGAGAATGCCAGCCTGTGCTGCGCCCAGCTGCTCCTAGGCAGCAGCACACCCTAGGCAGCCACCTAGTTTGTCTAGTGGAAGCACCAGCCCTGTCTGTATGTGGAGGTTAAATTTCTTTTCCTCCAGATATAAAGCTTGCCCCCTTGTCCTCTATAATAACCTAAAAGTAAATAACCCAACACCAAGTTTACAATGGACCACTTATGTATTTATACATGTTGATCATATCCCCCTTGATTGCCACTTCTCAGGAGAGAATAAATTCAGTTCCTCTAATCTTTCCTCATATCTGAGCTCCTCCATGCCTCTTATCAGTTTAGTTGCCCTTCTATGCACTTACTCCAGTTCCTCAATATAATTTTTGTGAATTGGTGCCCAAATCTGAACTACATATTCTAGATGAGGTGTAACTAATGATTTGTACAGGGGTAAAATGATGTCTCTCTCTCTGCAGTTTATACCAGTTTTAATACAAGAACTTATTTTGCTAACTTTAGAAACTAAAGTTTGGTATTGCATGTTATTATTAACTTATGGTCTAGCAGGACACCCAGATCCTTCCCCGGCATTGACTCCCACAGTTGTACTCCCCCTAGTATGTATGATGAGATGGGGAGCGGGTACCTGGTTTTGACAGGCACTTCTGGTCGGATCACCGCAGCTTACCATCAGCTCCAGATTCCATCTGCTGGTATAATTATCTAACCATTAAAGTACAGGAATACTGTATTTGCAGTAAAAAATTTGAATTGACATCAATCCGTCCAACCATGGTCTTTCTTTGGCTCCTAGGTACATCCATATAAGCTAGATAGTTTCTGAAACAGTTAATGAAGGTATTATAAAATTATATATTACACATACAGTATATATATATATATATATTATATATATATATATATATATATATATACACTATATATATATATATATATATATATATATATATATATATTATCATTTATATAATTTATATAATTTTTCAGATCCGTGAATGGGAGAATATGACCAAATGAACACATGTTACAAAAGTGTCCTTGCTGACTGTTTATAAAGATGAATTGAGAATTAAGTGTCAACCATATACCTTTTATATCTGTGTATTTGTAATAGATTCTGCTCAGTGTTTAATCAACATAGTAATTTAGCACTTAAATTGGTGTCTCCTGCATCACACAGATCAATGCCATGTTCATCACCTTCAGGTACAAATCGCTGTCCTGTGTCACTGAAGGTGTGTATTATTGATTGATGCAAGTAGAGATGTGTCTGCTGAGGTCAGCGGAAAAAAATGCCCCTTGTCATTAAAGGTGGATCATTTCAGAAAGAGTAACAGCAGATGCCAAGTGTCTTAAGTGAAAAAAGGTGTAGAAGAAACTACTTTTCATGAGGTAGAGAGGGGAGAATAAAGTGGATAAGCACAAGCTGAAATCAATAAAAAAACATAGATTTTTTTTCAAGTGAATTAAATGCTCGTGAAAGGTGTTGAATTGATAACAACGGGGGCAGAACACTCCATCTGTACACAGAGTAAGAACATCTTAATCTAAACCTGTACAACACTACAGCGACTCTCAATCAACTCTCCATTTATTAGGAAAAACATGCAGATCATCATTTTTACTTACGCTGATTTCCCTGTCTGCTTCCTAGGTTTTGTGCTTAAAATAATAAGTTATGGTAGTAAATAATTATAAGCCGTTCTGTTTTAAAAAGTCTTTTTCTTTCTTAATAATTGTGTGTATGTGTATGTGCATGTGTGTGCAAAATGTGATCAAATCATTCTATATAACATTGTCAATTACTATCAATGTTGTTGAAATCAATTTCATAATGTTATATGTCTGACTGCCACTGGGTTCAATGTTTTTAGAGACACTGGCCCAGAACAAGCATGCAGCAAGTAAGGTTTGAGAAAAGTAATTTCTCTAGTTCAGCACTCTTTTATCAGAAAAGTGACTGAAAGCACTGAAACCACTAGATCAGCAGATAGGCCAGGCAGCTAGCAATTTCAGAAAAAGGAGTCGGAAACAGCAGCAGATGCAGGCAGATTTTAAAACACACCAATGAATTATGTATTTATTAACCACTTGACCTCCAGAAGATTCCCCCCCCCCTTCCTGACCAGGCCATATTTTGATATACGGCGCTGCATTACTTTAACTGACAATTGCATGGTCATGCAACGTTGTACATTCCTACAAATAGAGCTTTCTTTTGGTGGTATTTGATCACCTGTGTGGTTTTAAGTTTTTGTGCTATAAACAAAAAAATACCGACAATTTTCTAAAAAAAAAAAAATATTTTTTACTTTTTGCTATAAAACATATCCAGTAAAAAATGTAAAAATTACATTTCTTCATACATTTAGGCCAAAATGTATTCTGCTGCCTGGCTTTGCTAAAAAAAAATCCAAATACATCATATAAATTAATTGGTTTACATGAAAGTTATAGCGTCTACAAATGGCGGTATATATACTGGAATTATTTATTTTTTTTATACTAGTAATAACGACAGGCATTCTGACACTGGGTGGGAACTGACTAACTGACATCCCAATGACACTAATACAGTGATCGGAGCGAATAAAAAGCACTGACACTGTACTAATGACACTGAGCAGAAAGGGGTTAACATCTGGGGTGATCAAAGGGTTAACAGTGTGCTGTTTTATATCATGTGCTGTATGTGTTTTACTAGGGAGACATGCTGCTCTGTATTTCTCTGATGAGAAATACACAGCAGAATGTCCTTGCTGGCAAGAGAGAGATCTATGTTGCTTACACACAGGTCTCTCCCCTCTCAGTATTACCTAGCGATCGCCGGGTGGCAGGGGAGAATCTATGGCTGGGGCCCGCTGGTAGACATCTGTAGCCGCCAATGGTGGCACGGGTAGGGCGGCACACACGCGCCCCCCCTAATTATGCATGTATATATGCATAATTTTGAACAGCCTTGCCGCCCTGTAGCAGTAATTTTACTATAGGGCAGCGGGAAAGCGGTTAGATAAATAAACGCATACAAATATTGTAAACATTGGCTTTCATAAATACATGAATTTGATGGGGTATAAATGGGATATAAACATGCTAGAGCATTTTTTTTTAGCTCCTGGGCCTTTCACGTGAGATGGTGATAAAAAAGAAAAAGAGAAAAGACAAACAAAAGAAGAAATATGAGGGCTGTTGGTGGATATGAGAACAGCAATAGCACCTCCAGTCAAGAATTATAGGATCAAACAATACATGAAACAGAGGTTGTAGTTGATGAGTTGAAAATTATTACTTACTACTTAGCAACAAAAGCAATTAACCACTTGCCCTCTAGAGGATTTACCCCCCTTCCTTACCAGGCCATTTTTTGCTATATGGCGCTGCGTTACTTTAAGTGACAATTGCGTGGTCATGCAATGCTGTACATAAATGACAGTTATGTCCTTTTTTCCCATAAATGGAGCTTTCTTTTCGTGGTATTTGATCACTTCTGCGTTTGTTTGCGCTATAAATAAAAACCTACAGACCTACAATTTTGAAAAAAAAACAATATTTTTTACTTTTTGCTATAAAACATATTCAATAAAAAAATTTAAAAAATCAAATTTCTTCATAAATTTAGGCCAAAATGTATTCTGATACATGTCTTTGCTAAAAAAAAACTCCCAATACGTGTAAATTAATTGGTTTACATGAAAGTTATAGCATCTACAATTGGCAGTAAATATACTGGAATTTTATTTATTTATTTATTTTTTTACTAGAAATGTCAGCGATCAGCAAATTATGCTGTGCAGGATAGAGACCTGTGTTGTTTACACACAGGTCTCTCCCCTATCACTTCCACATAGCAATCGCTGGGTGCCAGTGGGAAATATCCAGCCGGGACCTGGTGATTGACATCCCTAGCTGCCAATGGCACGCCTCCTACCCGGAAATTCAAATTACATGTATATACGTGATTTTGGGCCACCGTGCCGCCCTGCCGCCCTGTAGCTTTACTTTCATTTTAGGGCGGCAGGCAAGTAGTTAAGGCTTAGATCAATGGTGTCAAAATGGCAGCTATCCAGCTGTTGTGAAACTACAAGTCCCATCGTGCCTCTGCCTTTGGAAGTCATGTTTGTAACTGTCAGCCTTGCAATGCTTCATGGGCTTGTAGTTTGGAAACAGCCGAAAGGCGGCCACTCTGACACCCCTGATTTAGATTTATGT